ACCACGGTGAACGGTGGCAGGTATTTTGCGGAATTGGATTTATCAGACGCATATTTACAAATTCCTGTATCTGATGAACTCAAAGATCTAATGATCAGAACGCACAACGGTCTGTTCCGATATAACCGACTTCTTGGGATTGGTCAGTCATTATGGTACCTTCTCGCTGATCTTCATCGTTTGTGTGCTCACTATTAACAATTAGAACAAACGAAACACTAACTAGCGATCAAGATCTTGATATAATCACTTCGGAATTTGTTCGGCTACTAGTCTACTAAAGTGAAAATGGATTCAATTGTGATAATTACGCAGAAACCTGTCAAAATAATATTTTCCTCATCGTGCTAGCTTCTAGCATCAACTACTTGTAAGACCCAAACTAAAGTTTGGACTGAAGAATAGCTGTCTAGGTGGGTTAGATACGCGCCCTTGCATGTTTGAAACCAAAATAAGGTAAATGGGTAAAATGACGGTTCTACTATTCATTATAAATTTAAATGTACATCGTTACCTAAACAAATATGAACAGCCAGCTGTCCAACCAATAATTGTACAATTAATCAAATCTAAATTACAATAAATAAAGAAAATGATAAAGGATGAGAAAATTACCAATCACAACAAATAAATGTTGTGCTATCCTGTCTGGATAGACCACGCACAGATTCGTTCAAAAGATAATATTTGGTTGCTTTATGACACAGAGTATTTCCAATCCTGGAAGAGTGCATCAATTCACAATAAAAAATGCACAATTCCAGTCAATACAAGCAACATAATCAAAAGGAGGAACAAACCGATATGGCTGCCGCCAAGACTAAGTATCAAGTAAAACAACATAAATGCAGTTCAGGAAGAAACACGGAAACTTAGTGAAGGCGTAAGAAAAATAAAAACTATAATAAAATACAAATATTAACAACTCAAGTGGGATCAAAAAGACTAACAATGTACAACTAAAGGAATCAATAGGAACAAACTGCAAATGTATACATGGAGGGATTTTCACACAAAAAAGATTCAGAATGGATCTTACACTAC